GGACTCAGGCGATAATCTTGCCAGCTACAGACAGCAGCGAGATCTCGTGGTAGTTCCAAAGTCTGACTGGTTTCCCTTGTTCTTATAAATATTGACAATGGAGGCGTCTGTAATAGCTTGGGGGATTTTCTCCTTTTCCCATATATTCTCCAGGAGAGAGTGGAGACGGCTGGTAAGCAGAGGTCCTCCTGCTTTATACACCTCAGCTGGGATTCCATCAAGCCTTGAGGCTATAATATTTAAAAAAAATTTGATGGCAGAAGCTACCTCATCCAGGGATGGAGGATAGTTGAGGTGGGTCAGCTCTGGATGCTGAGGGACCTGCTTGGTAGTTAGGACATCCACATCGGTATTCTGATTGAGCAGCGAATGGTAGAGCTCTTACCAGAGCTGAAGGATGCCTTCTTTGTCTTTAATTTGGGAGTTACCGCCAGATGAGCGGAACGGGGCTGCGACAAGAGTGATTGGCCCATAAAATGTTTTACTGGAATTGAAAAGTTCATGCATCTTTTGTTGATTTGCAAGCTTTTGCATTTCACTTGCTATATTTTTAAACCAGTCATTCTTTAGATTGCAAAGTTTGTGCTGGGCCGTCGCTTTCTTCTTGTTGAAGGTATCAGCTTTGGTTTGAGACTGAGGGATGTTCTACCGGTCAGTAAAAGCAACACACTTATCATTGACGAGTACATTGATTTCTGGGTCATTTTTATCAAACCAGTCCAGGTGTATTCTTCCGATCTGACCGAGGGTCTCTCTGCAGGTTTTTGTCATGACAGTATCGAGAATATCCCATTCAGCACTGGGATTTGGGTTGTTTGTTGTCGGGTTGTTTATCAGCCTATGTTCGAGCTGCTCTCTGAATGTATGTTAGGTAGTAGGTAGTAGGCAGCTACCAAACAGGGAGGTACTACTGTCTGGGAAGATATTGGAAGCATAATGTGTTGTCTAATGGTAGACCCTGCTGCCATATGGCATCACGAAAATTGTGACCAAGTCCCAGGTTGCTGATCTGACTTTCTGCCTCATTTACACACAACTGCAGGGTCTCAATTGTTTCTCTTACTTTGACAACACAACATATATCTCTCGTTTCTCACTATTTATCTTTTTTTTTTTAATTTTGCATTTGTTTATGGTTCTATATTATTATTATTATACTTTACTGTATTTAATCTTTTTAATTCATATTTTATTATTATTATTATTATTATTATTATTATTATATCTTCGCCTTCCAGGCCCTGATGTGGGTCATTGACCTGTTCTCGGGTGGGCTACTCCCTTAAAAAAAAAAAAATGTTACCACTGGATCCTCCAGATGCTTAGTATTAAAACATCGTCTGGAGGTTTGTAGTCTTCATTGTTTGGGGCCGATGTGAAGTGAGACCTTGGCTCTGACGAGCCAATGATCAGTGTCGCAGTGGTTTGAGCCATGCATGACTCGGGTGAAGAGGACATCACGGCAATCTCTTTCTCTGACAATAATGTAGTCAGTGAGCTGCCAGTGTTTGGATTGTGGATGTTGCCACGAACCCTTGAACTTGTCGGCCTGCCTAAACAAGGTATTGGTGATAGTGAGGTTGTGTGCAACACACTTGCTGAGGAGGAGAAGGCCGTTGGGATTACACTTGCCTTGTCCATTTATCCCTATGATTCCCTGCCAAATGTCAGCATCTCTGCCAACTCTGGCACTGAAGTCACCAAGGTTAGCACTCTGTCAAGGTCAGCATAAAGGGCCCCCTTGATGCCATCCTCTGCATCCAGTGTTGGGGCGTATGCGCTGGTGAAGAATGCATGACGTGAGTGATTCAGTGGGACTCGGAGCGTCATGAGGCGCTCGTTGATCCCAAGAGGCATTTCAGTTAGCCTATGTAGGATGCATTGGCAGATGGCAAAGCCAACTTCATAAATGCGGTTTCTCTCCGCAGCAAGCTTACTCTTCCAGAGGAAGGTATAGCCAGACTCCCGTTCTGTGAGTTGACGCTCGTTCTGGGAGCTGGGACTCACTGATGGCTGCTATGTTGATGTTATACCTTGCCAGTTTTTTTGCCACAAGGATAGTTCTTCTTTCTGGATACTTAGTTGTACCAGTATCCAGAAGGGTCCTGACATTCCATGCAGCGACCATAAGAGGTTGTATAGTGTATTTTTGTTTTGATCTGTAATTAGGACTGTTTTCCACCACATAAGGGGGGACCTTACTGGGTGTAGTTGCCCAGTCAGGTTGGTTCTTTAGGCAGGCTATGTTTAGGGCACCTTTTCTAGCCCCATCCCCATGTGGGGTGAGCAGAGTGGGTCCTCGAGAAGGCTGCTCAGTCGCATAGACAGGACCAGATTGCACTGCTGCCTAGATCCCAATGTATAAACGACCATCTTATCTATGCCACCCATGTATAGAGCTGTGCTTGTCCCCATCGCCACTCCTCCGTCACCAAAGGACTTTTGGGGGGTATAAGGGGTTTTGATGAGCTGGATATTGGCTGTGCTTAAGTTGATTATGTCGTGAGGCAGGAGTGTAGGCTGCAACCACACATATTGGCTCTCCCTTTCCTTGATCTAGTGACTCAAGTGTTGCAAGGACTGTGGTGAGAAAAGGTTGCAATGGACTGCTGATTGTTTGGTTTCTCTTCGCTCGTCGTGGGGTAAGTAAACACGTACTTGAAGAATTGCTTTGTTGAGGAACTTGTACAGGTGACGGCAGGATTCAGAATGACTACTGTATATTACTTATCAAACTAGTCAACTAATACAATACACATAAGGAATGGAAACTGTTTCATTCACTATACAGTAGTACAATGACGCATGAGACTATCTCATTCACAACTCATTCGCACGCAGACCACAAGTGGGCAGCACTAGCACTGGAACAATACTGATGCACACACACACACACGCACGTACACCTAGCAGACATCACACACTGATAGCACCAGTTTCTTGGATTTCGCCTAAGTGGCCTGTCCATCATCCGCTGGTGTAGTAGTTGGGTTCCCATGGTGGTCACCTCTTCTGCCTATACTGCCATTGGGGTCTTGTTGGAGCTCTGTAAGCATGTCTGCCTGATGTGGGGTTCCACCGCAGAGTTTTCGTTTGGGGTTTACTCCTGTAGCCTTATACCTACCAAGGTTAATACGGAAGGCGGGGCAGTGGTTGGTAGGTGTCAGGACATGTCCACATGCCATTGGGTCTATGCACCATCCCTCTGGGGCTCACTGCTGCTCTGAGATCCCCTGCTGGTCTAACCTGGGCCCACGAGGCACCCAGTTACTGTGTGTTGCCACGAGGAGGCACAGCAGGAGTCTTGATGGTGAAGAGGCTGTGTACTTGCAGGTGAAGATTTTTCAGTACAGTAATGTTGGTCATGCATTTGACATTACTGTAATCTTTCCAACAGCTGAACATAAAGATAGTGGTTAGGGAGGTTAGCATTCATTACTTAGCGAATCCATCACCTAACCTTAAACATAGCTATACCCTAGTTGAGAGGATGGATGATTGAAGTGGTGTTGGATGGAAGTAACACCACCTTTACATTAGAATGTTCAATATCCAATTTATTCGGATGGCTTGACTCATTGTTGAGGATGTGGAGGACTTTGAATTTCAAACCTTTCTCATGAAGGTACTGTATTTCTTCATTTCATGGAGGATGCAGTTATCAATTTAATCCCCAAAACAGAGCTTCAGTGACCCTGGACTTCTTGTTTGATGAACTTTGATCAGTAATAAACAAGTAACAGTTGTTTGTTTTTACCCTTTAATGCCTATGGTTTCATTGCCCTATACACTAACATGGACTTTGCCATAAAACCTGGAGCATTGCCAAAGAGGTGAAGGGTTACTCACTTCTTTGTTGCCTTAAAGCTGGATGTTTCCTTATTTTCCATAGGAAGACATGTCCAAGTGGGCATCCTCTTCCACCATAAGGTAGTCTCATCAGTATTAAAAGCTTGGGTTTATAGCCTTTTTCCTTAATTATCTTGAGAAATTCCAGGGATGAGCCCTTGTTGCATCATAATCTGTTGATGTTGCCTTGCCAGTTGACTCCACAATATGCAATGTGAATCTCCTGTTAAAATTTCAAACCAGTCCTTACAGGCAGTAAAGGTATGGTGGATGCTTTCACTCAGCCCCTCAGTACCTGTTGATGGTTGTAGAGGCTCATGGCCTTCTCATAGATAACATTTTGGTTCACCGGCATGTTTGTCTGGTGCATTGCTCAGGCCACAGACTTAATGCCTTTTCATTTTTATTGTGTCCCCAGACAAGAACTACATAATAGACTTTCTGCCTTTTTAGGGCACTTGAAGCAACACTCTCTTTTCTTTTCTTCTTGATGGAGTGAATGGTGGACTCACTCATATCAAATATCCTACCCATGGCTGCAGCTCTCATTCCTCATACTAGCTTGTCTAAAAATTAAACTTTCTGTCCTGGAGTTCACTTTCTTTTCCTTTTTGCCCACTTAAGCTCCAATATTATCACCTCTTGCTTTTCATTTAGCAGCTGTGGGTGCAGGATAAATGAGCAAAAGTTGTGATGGGTGTGTTAGGCACAACAGTGGAAGGGTAACAAACGGTGGTGGAGCATAGTGTGGCATGGGATAGACAGACTGACATGAGGAGGATAAATATGCTGACCCTCTACTACTTTTTGTGCTGTGACCAGAGAGCTTTCCATAAATTATGAAAACTTTCGAGATTAGAGAATGGCGACTTGTTTACTGACCACAAAGTTAAATCTGTGAATGACACAACCATGAAGATTACTGTAGTTCAAAGTAATGTAATGCAGAAAATTCTACAATATAGTGCTGCAATGTCTAAAAGACTGGAACTTCCAAATTGGTTCATGAAGTAAATATACTTTAAGGGTTAAAAAAGTTTTTATGTTCTTAATATTTAGTATTTACATTTGTCATTCACTAGAATTAACTGCTCGTTTTGGCTAAATTTAAGAAATTTATCCAATAACAAACTGGGTAAAAAAGGCAATGGTACAATTAACACTTTATTTACATCAAATGATGTACATATCTGATAAATATCTACACCTATGTACATAGAAAATTACAAAAATTACAATGTTTTACATTTCACATATTGTATGTTGATTAATATTACTGGCAATAAATAAAACATGAAAACAGAAGCAGACTGTCTACTGTTCAGGCACTGTAAGTGAAGCATGAAACTAATGCTGGCAATTAACACTGGCAATAATATCACTCGGCATTATAACTCTCTGAGTGACTGATCGACCTAGAATTATCCATTGTCATCACAAGGCATTATAAACAACTCTCAGAGGATGATCACGCTACAATTAGGACCCAATATTCTGTACTAGAATGATCAACACATGATTCTTCCTGCTGGAGGATGTAAAATACTGCAGCTGTTACTCTCCATGAGGAGATACTGAGTAAATGTGGACATAAGAAAGAAAAAGAATAAGAAAAGAGAAGCAATATTAATTCTATGGAGAACAAATATCATAAAAATATCATCTCTGGTTCTTCTGTTAAGAGAACATAAAATACTTGAGGTACTGAACATGTAAGTTAAGAAGATATATTTATCAGAGATACAAAAGGAGAATATTGATGCCCACTAGGACCTGGAATATTGAAGGGCAAGCATATCTGGCATACTAATGTGTGTGAGATATAAATGTGTGTTAAAGTTCTGTGTCACAGTCCAATAATAGTTTCAGTTCTTACTGTGATGATACTTGCAGAGAAATATAGTGTTTAGTGTTCATATGTGGATGCTAGGGTGAAAAACAAAGTGACATAAGAGGTTGGAAATATTAAGAAAGTGTCGTGGTGAATTAAAGGGGAGAAATACCGAAAAAAGGAAAAGTTGAACATTCACGTATATCAAGATGAGAGTATGACTGGGAGACAAAGACCTGTTATCAAGAAGGGTGTTACTAGAGTGTGGTGGGAGACTGCCTACCTGGGTGATGCAGTACACCTTAAAGGAAGAAACAACGAAAACTTGATAATAACTTGTCCAAGAAAAAACAAATGAAACAATATGGTATGCAATCATGTTAGTACCTGTAATGTGGCTACAGTAGTTTATGAATTGGATGAAAAAACAAATAATAATAATAATAATATAAGATCATAGTGAGTAAGGTGAAGTGTGATTTAGGACAGGGAAAAAGAGTAGAAGTTGGATGAACTGAGTCAAGTGAGATGATGACCAGGTATGTAAGTGAGGCATACAAGAGTCAAGAATGAAGCAAAGCATATGTAACATTACTCTTAAAACAAAACAAAATTATTAGGAAAGTGCTTAGAAAAATAAATGCACTGGTCAAACACAAGACACTGACCAATATTTACATCCCCCCTATATCAAGAACCAATGGCCAATCTTTCTACCTTTGCTTCGTTCAAGTACTGTGTAATCGAGTCCTCTGGATTAAAAAGACACCTAAGAAGTGTCATGATTTTTTATGTGTTTAATCTACTAATTTATGAAAACGGAGTCTTTTTTACCTCAAAACACTATCGAATTTCCTTTATGGGGTAGAGTACTGGGCTGATCACTTTGCTTCTCTTAAGGTTTTTATACTAATTTTCTCCATATCCAGGATACTACACTACCACACACACTGGAAAATGACACAAGCATTGTTAGAAAACTTAGTAACTCTCCACACATTTTCCTTATATAATTAGATAATACATTTGGTGTTAACTTTCTCTCCTGATAACATTAAACTGTAAGGTGACTATATTTAATTTCACAGCTACGATCAAGTCAAAGAACACCTATTGGTAGCTAAAGGGAGTCTGGAAATTATTAAATTATTGAAAAATATTAAATTATAGAGAAATTAATAAACAGTTTCATTTAATCTAAATATGGTCATTCATTTTAAAAAGAAAATCTATGTCAAAAAGGTGAACATAAAAAATACATGGAAAGATCTGCATAAATGTTTGTCAAATTGTGAAAATCATAATGAACTGGAAATTTAACTCTTGAGGCTGATTATAGTCATTAATATCAGCTGAATAAAACCTCAGTGATTTTCAAACCCCAATCCTCCAGGAGATATTTTACCAAGTCAAGCAGTCAACTAGTCAATCAGTCCACACTAAGGGTAAAAAAAAAAAAAAAATCTTGATGAATCTTGGGATCAGAAAACATGATAATACTTGTAGTTTTCCTGATACTCTGGGCTTTAAAATGTGTCCAATCCCTATCATAATTACAAGAGACATTCTACATGAAGAACTTTAAACCTGGCTCACAGGTAACGATAATTTATAAAATATAAAATTCTTTTGGAAAAATCTATATCCTATTCATATTTCAAGTCATCAACCCTGAGCTGAGTAGCAACGTGACATTACAAGGAATAAAATCACTAGAAGTTTTAGTTCTCAAATGTAGCAACATACATTACAGTACAGTATTAAGAATCTATAGACATAAACAGTATTGGCTAATATTACATCTGATTAAATGTCTGGCTATATTCTCAGGTAATTCCAGAAACCCAACAATAAAAAAAGAAAACTGCTGACAAAATGATCAGCCAAATTATTCAGCTATAGTTCCAAGAGCACCTTGAAAAAGTGTGAACAGTCTGCTCCAAAACAGATTACATCACCAATGTACAATTTCACAGAAACTTGGGATCTGATCCAAAAAAAAGATCATTCAGGCAGTTGGACTGTATATCACTGCTTGATGTGTGGCATGTAATATCAATATTTACATATATGTATATATCTACATAAAAAGTAGAGAAATGCTTATTGTCGCAGTGGCAATAATATAACAAATCAGATCCATTGCCTACCACATTCACCCTGGCAATTTGTCATCTTATCCTCAAAATAAAACCTTCTCAACCTTACTTACAATAGATACAGTTTCCTATTTACACTTCAGTAGAGTAAAAACAAAATGAACCAATATGGAGTACTGTACCACTGAAGACAAATTCCTGCCATTGAGTTAATATTTTCCCCTCAACTGAGAAACTCTATACACAGGAGAAGCTGCTAGCAACTGTGACACAGGCACAAATAGGTTAAGCTAAAGTGCCCACCATCAAAAAGGAAGCAGAACATGAGTATTGCTGTATATTCTGGGAGACTTACTGAAAACAATGTGATCTCTCTTAATCCCTCAATGACTCAAGACCACACTGACTTCATCCTATTACACACAAGGGGCAACACATACATATCATTATGTTCAGTCCGTTTGTTACTCCTTACTCATCTTTGTTAATGAGTGGTTTAATGCTATCGAAGAAATAATTTCACTGACAATGCAACATAAACACAACAGAAAAAATTACATATTCCAAGTTCTTAAGACTGCAAATTCCTAAATAGGAATACTGTACCACGCATTTTTGTTAGCACAACAGCTGTGTATGCAATCATGAAACCCTTCCAATACAAACATAGCAACACCATGTTAATGATACACTGGTAAATAGACAATGCAAATGGTTCAACTGTTTAATTGATGAAATTAACTGATTGGACTGAAGAGAAAAAATTTATCAAGCACAATCTCAAGAGTAAGAGCCTGAAGAGGTGTAATGGAGGAGGTACTTCCTATGACCTGGTCTTGCACATAACAAGAATTAATGATGTAAAATGCAGAAGCAAAACATATGCCTTATGAAATCAAACAGGATGATCGCTTATGTTTCCACAATAATAATGAGAAACAACAATAAAGGTAAAACAGATAACCTCCAACATTACAACCGAACATCAAATCTCATTCTTCACCTGTGTAATATGTACCAATGCTTTCAGAACTTTAGAGCTCATGGTATTCCTCGGTACCTTACAAAGTTCATATACAGTGACCCCTCGTTTAACGAACACCTCGGTTAACGTAATTTCGATTAACGAACTGCCTTCCATAAGGATCTTCAATTCGTTTAACGAAAAAAATTTCGCTTAACGAACTTCTTACGAACCGACCTCAACATGTTTTCGCTTGCACTGACCGGGCAACCAGCTTTAGTATCAGTCCGCCAATACATTAATCGGTTCTAGGGCTTAAATTCCTTACTATTTTTGTAAATATCAAGAAGTTTATACTATTCAATAATTTTAAAAGTTTAATATTCAATTTTTTAGTCATTTTAACAATTATTGAACAAAATTGAAGGTAAAGTGACTAGTTTAATGCGCGGCATCCAGCCTCTTAACACAGCAAACAGGCGTCAGTCTCTCTCTGTTTTCACTGGAGGTAACATCTTGCTTGAGACTCTCTTCAACTAAACGCTTTTTTTCTGTGTTTCCAAGCAAATTATTGGTCATTTTGAAAATTATTTTACATATTGACAATATATAGTGCAGTGCAGTGTTACTTTAAAGAAAATATTCTTTATTTACAGCTAGTTTAACTTTGAAAAATACGTGTTGCCATTGTTTGAATCCAGCATGGGGCCTAAGAGATCAAGAAAAGTGATTTCAATCCAAATAAAGCAGGAAATAATAAAAAAACACGAACAAGGTATTAAATCAAATGCGCTATGCAAAGAATATGGCATGTCGGCATCAACTGTGTCGACAATTCTTGCACAAAAAGACAAATTTAAGGAAGTGAACGTGAGAGACAAATCTACAAGAGTGTTTAAAAGTAGATCCCTAATCGTAGAAACTGAGAGGTTACTTATCATCTGGATTAGGGAAAAACAGATGAAAGGTGATTCAGTTTCTGGTGATTTCATTTGTGAAAGAGCCAGGGAGATTTATGAACATTTAAAGACAGATCAACCTGGTTCTTCAGGAACAGAATTTGAAGATTTTCGGGCTAGCAAAGGCTGGTTCGAAAAATTTAAGAAAAGAAGTGACATTTTAAGTGTTGTTAGGCATGGTGAAGCTGCTAGTGCTGATAAAGAAGGGGCAGCAAAGTTTTTAATTGAATTTAAAAAACTGATGGAAGAAGAAAATTATCTTCCACAGCAAGTGTTCAATGTTGACGAAACTGGGCTGTTCTGGAAAAAGATGCCCAAAAGAACATTCATCACCAAGGATGAAGCCTCTTTACCTGGGCATAAACCCATGAAAGACCGTCTCACTCTATTGCTTGGTGCCAATGCTTCAGGGGATTTCCGACTGAAGCCTATGCTTGTCTACCACTCTGAAAACCCCAGGGTGTTCAAGCAACAGAAAGTGGTAAGAACAATGCTTGGAGTTTATTGGAAGTCCAACCGTAAGGCATGGGTGACAAGACAGTTCTTTAATGAATGGGCTGTTGATGTGTTTTGCCCCTCTGTCAAGAGCTACCTAACCACCAATAAACTTCCTTTAAAGGCTCTTCTCCTCATGGATAATGCTCCTGGTCATGACCCTGACCTTGCCAGAAATTTGGAGTATAAATTTGACTTTGTGAAAGTGTTGTTTTTGCCTCCAAACACTACATCACTCATACAGCCAATGGACCAGAATGTGATCAGCAACTTCAAGAAGTTGTACATGAAGAAAATGTTTAGGAGGTGTCATCAGGCAACTTCCATTGATCCTGAACTAACACTGAAACAGTTCTGGAAGACACAATTCAACGTCCTGGAGGCTGTAAAATTGATTGTGTCATCATGGCAAGAAGTCTCCAATAGAACCCTCAATTCTTCATGGAAAGCACTGTGGCCATCAGTAGTCCATGATTTTGAGGGATTTGAGGATGACACAGAGTTGGACCAGGAGATTGTGTCCATTGGTCAGTCATTGGGTCTTGAAGTGGAGGAGAAGGATGTGGAAGAGCTTGTGATGTCTCATGAGGAGGAACTTACTCCTAATGACTTGAAGGAACTGGATGAGATGTTACGGGTAGAGGCTGACAGTGGTGAGGAGGAAATTGAAAGTGATGACCATATGTCAGCTAAACAGTTGAAAGATGTGATTTACCACTGGGAGAAGTTCAGGGAACTGGCTTCAAAGCACCCAGAAGTGGAAAAAACTGAACTAACTTTGTGTCATGTTGAGGACTCAGTGGTCTCCTTCTTTAAACATAAGTTAATGGTGAGGAGGACAGATGCCCCACAGACCACAATTGACACTTTCTTCAGTAAAAGGCAGAGGGAACAAGATGCTAGCCCTCAGCCTTCCACTTCAAGAAGGAGAGAGGATGTTCATGGTGGAGAATCTGTCAGTCCAGAGGTTCCTGACATTTTCATGGAAGGTGACTCACCTTCCAAGAAGCAGTAAAATGCTTCTCCTCCACCTCCACTTCCTTCTCTTCTCCCTTCTCCTCCTGCACCTCCCACTTCAAATGCACATCATCACCATCATCCAGGAGCCTTCTACATACACACCTCAAAGTAAGTAAATTTTTCCGCCATTTTTGTTGAAGTTAGGAAATTTTCGGTGAGCTGGAACCAATTACCCAAAAACCCATTGAAACAATGGTTTCGGTTAACGAACGTTTCGGTTAACGAACGACCTTCTGGAACGGATTGAGTTCGTTAACCGAGGGGCCACTGTATACTTTAAGAACTCAGAGGTTATGGCTTTTCTAAGTAACTAGTCATTTTAACAATTACTGGGCATTGTATACAGATACCCTCAGTAATTTAACTCATTCCATTATAGACTACATCACCTAAAAAAATGAAGGCAACATCCA